TTGGCGACTGCGGTGAAGATGATGTCCTAGACTGTAGCGACGTTGTCAGAGCTGCTCGATGTTGGAGGTCTTCCAGATCGAGAGTACTGGTCTCCAGGTAGCTATCTCCATACTAGAAGTTTCGCAGCTGTTTGGAGGTGACATGAATTCCAAAGGTCTTCTCCAGTCAGGCTGCGACTGGAGATGACTTCATATTTTGGAAGGTGATGGGCGAGAGCCAGCTCCTGCTTATCGAGGAACATCTTGGGTATCTTCCGCCCTGGTACTCGTATCCACGTCCTCTGTCTGGGCTGCGAAAACTTTGCTGATATGTGACTCGGTCGTCTTTTTTTTGCCTACCCCCTCCCCCCTCTATACCGCGTTATGTGGACGCGCGAAGCTAGGAACCACTGTACCTTTTCTGGTGGCTTTACCCTTCTTTTCAAACCGCCAGAGATAAAGAGGGCGGGTGCCAATGAAGTGAGTCTTTTTTTTCCGACACTACCGTCATCGTGGAATGTGACTCTGAAGAAACGGAGATATTCATATAGAGGGAATGTGGAGAATCGTGCCCCAGAGATGCCTTTATTTCTGCCGTATTCTTCCTACTTGATCTCCAGCCTCTCCCTCTTTTTGTCCCTGTGGCCCTCTTGTTTGTCTTCCATGAGCACGTGCGTGTTCGTCGAGTATGAATGCTCCCTTATGTATCCAAACTGAACTTTTGCCAATTACATGCTGCAGATGTCTTCAGGTAGATCCCACCGTGGAACTACCCACTAAGTACCCGAATTCCCCCTGCTATAATCTTCCTTTGGCGCAGGCTTGGTGGGGCACTTTGGTAGTTCCCATCGGTCACTGCGATGCCTAGAGTGAAGATAGTGAAATCCTGTAGCGCTGTGCAATGGTAAGAGCGTCCTTTTACGCTTGACAAGAGTCTACAGGTTTCACCAAGGTGAGAAGTGCTGTTCAACAGGAACTAGCAAATGCTCCCCTCTCCACTCCCTCCCTGAAACAGCCTCCTTCCGCCGATCGAACTTTTAGTCGAAGGTGGAGGGAAGGGGGAGGGGGGGGGAAGGGGGGGAGGGAAGGGCAGTGATTAATACAACGGACTACTTTTGACGGGGCGAGGTGGAAATCAAAGCGGCAACCTCTCTGAAAGTATGGGTCGTCTGGACGAGGAGAAAACCAAGAAGCCTTCAATTTCTCCCTTTTCCTGAGGTTTTCCATATCCATTCTTGTTGAATCTTTGTTGAATCCGACCTCTCTCTGCAACGCAATATACGATCGCTGTCCCTAGCAACTGAATACGACTTTTCTTCCGTCGCGAGAGTCCTCAGCACAGGTTCTCAGTCAGTAAAGATGACCAAACTTCATGAGAAATTACACTTTCCACAGCATAAAATGTGACAGGATGGTCTACATGAGGGTAAAGCAGGCAGAGGTCTTCAATAAGCAGTTTATCCTCAGCACATATAGACTCATTTCCTTTCAAACCTTCCAACTTGTCAACGCTTTCGGAACGAATTCTGACTCCAGAAAAGAAAGAACTTTTAGAACTGACTCGTGGAACTACGCACCAAACCCGGACAAGCAATGGCTTTTGCAGAGGACTGGTAAAATGGAACCTGTGCATGTTGCATTCACCGATTTACTTCATCGCCGTCGTATGCAAACATTACAAAGCGTTGACGATGGAGTACATCAGGTACTCTCTTCCGACATATTGTGACAGCCTGTCTCTGTCTAACTGATATCGTCGCAATCAGTCAAGGAGATGTCAGGAGACGCGGAATGAGCCCAGCGCGCTTCTGCTTTTTTTGCCAATAATGATCGGTTCAGGAAGAAAACAACCACTGGCGAAAAACGCCGCGGGGAGGAGTTCTTGCATTGCCCTAACTGATTGCTATTATATCAACTGTACCTCTAACTCGATTTCCTTTTATTTTTCGACGCTCCGCGACCACAACTATTTATCTTCGACATATGCAATTTACACATCAGATCATGGATATCACTTGGGCCAGTTTGGTCTAATTAAAGGGAAAAATATGCCATACGAGTTTGATATCCGTGTGCCATTTTTCATGCGTGGCCCAGGGGTTATAAAGAATGTTAGGTGAATTTCTTCAATCTGTTTGTTTTGCCTGTTTTGTGATCGTAAAGTATCGCTAAGAACTTCACTCTTTTACAGTATACGCGAGCCCGTCCTAAATGTCGATATAGCGCCGACCTTGATTTCCATTGCTGGTGGCAAGGTTCCGAGCCATATGGACGGTAGAAATCTGATGGAGTTGATCGCACTGAAGAAAGCCGCCTTGTCAGGGAGTAAGCGCTCAAGCTTCTTATTTTTTGTTTCTATGAAAAAGAGGTCGAAGAGAAGAGGCTTCCTCTCATGCTCATGTGTGCAAGAATTAGAACTTTCTGAAATTCTTTTATTGTATAAGACGTTCTTTAGGAGTCCTAGTTATTTTTGCCTGCCAGCATTTTACAACTTATATAATAATTAGAAGGTTGGCATCGAAATCGGTCCGGAATATTGTAGCTTTCCTCAAAGGAATGCTATTACGAGCACATTCCGTGATAACCGGTTAGGCGGAGACTCATAATCATTGTTTCCGCATTACTGAAGCGCTGCTTCTTTCGATGAAAGGGAGGAACGTGCCGATGAGGATGACATTATACTTGTGATCCATCTGATTATCGCGAACTGATGCCCATCATATCAACCTCATCTCAATAATTTCAGAAACTAACGACACTGGTCTTCCGGCTCCATGGAGAGACACGGTTTTGATCGAAAGAGGGTGGGCGTTTTCACTCACACATTTATACGTTTAGCCTTCAGCTGGGGCTTTTTGACCGACTTTTTTCTCCGTGGACAGATTGGCTCAAATGTTGTCTCCTGGGGTAGTTTGACCTCCTGAATACGAATATCACATTCGCTCAGCCCGAAACTCCCAGGCGCCAGGTGATTTGGGGTATTTTGGCGCCGGCGCCTGTGGCGCGGGCGCCAGGAGGTTTCGTGCCGAGCGGATGTGATATTCATGTTCAGGAGGTCAAACTACCCAGGAACAAATTTTCAGCCAATTCTGCCAACGCAGAAAAAAGTCGATCAAAAACTGCCGAATATTTATAGAGTTTTCACAGTTGGTCGCTGCTTTTTTGGGGAGCGCCACGCATTCTACTCCCATTCGGGATGGTGAAGGCATTTTCAATGCGATATGACCTATACAATGACTTGCGGAAGCCAACCGATCCACAAGTCCGCTTATCCTCCCAGACGAGATTCGCAGTGGAAGATCTTGGAAGATAGAGGCGTGGTTAGCCTGGGCAAGAGCCTTTCCGGAACCGCCGCCTTAACCTTCAAGGACTGTTCGAAAATTGTGCTGCTCTTGAAGTAGATCCCTTTTCAGCTCTCATTCGCAAGAGAATGCTCTGAGACGAGCTAAGCAATCTAGAAGATCTCTGCCAGTTTTTTTTTGTTTCTGGGCTATACAAGCTGTTTTCCTGAGTCATTGTGACTTGAGAAAGTTTCTTCACCTATATACACACGATCTTTATGAGATGAATCCGTTGCAGAAAAATGCCAAAACTACGCAAGATTCGCGACCGATGGTTAAATCAGAAAGAGAGGTATGGAAAAGAGGTCCGTCTGAACGAAGGCATGTAGTAAACCGGAATGGCAGCGACCGTGCAGCGGATCACAAGTAAGTGATGCTGAAGAGATTATGAGTTTTCATGGCGCTGATCACAGCGCGTCATTGAGCGCGCACCTTATACCACACTTGGAAAACTAGGTAGTACACTGAAGACTAAGGAGAAAACGGCTAAAGAGGTTGGAAATAGCAGATCCGCCGTTTCGTGACAGCCGCACGTCAGGCCGCGTCCTGCGTCTTTGACCGGCCAGTCAACTGCCCTGGATGACGACCTACACTACCTGATATCATATTGGTCGCCTTTAGTCAATTTAGTCTTGATGTGAACTGTGACCTGGTGGTTTGCACAACTCACTGCTTGCACTTGCCGCAACACGGAAGACTTTTCTATAAAGTTGGCGTACTAAATGGCCCGACAGTTTATAGTTTGAACGACGCTTTCACCGGGTAGTTGAAAAAACTCTTTCCGAGGAGAAATCGGGAATTGACTAGATCCAGCTTCTGTGTCATGAGGAGGGGACAAGCGCCCCCTGCCCTTCGCTTCTACTTATAGTGACCGGTTTAAGAAGAAAACAATCAGTGATAGAAGCTGTTTTGTATGATAACTGCTGTTTAACGCCGCAGTACGCGTTCCGAATGTTATCACAAGAATGCTGAGTTGTGGGCAAAAGTCGTGCCGCCAGGCGGGAGTCCGAAACCTATGCGCTTTCCGGCGAGTGTGCTATCGGTTACGGGCCACAGGGGCCGCTTTACGCCTCTCACGTTAAACGTGTGAGTGCTGATAGGCTACGGCATAAAAGCCGTTAAGCTGAGAGGGTAAAAGCGGCCCTGGTGGCGTAACGGATAGCGCACTCGCCCGGAAAGCGTGAGGTGCGGGTTCGACTCCCGCCTGGGCACGACTTTTGCCCACAACTCAGCATTCTTGCGATAAACATCAGTGATATTCAATCGCGCAAGAGCGGGCTTTTTCGCACGGCTCCTGACACCGCCTGGTGCTGGGAGTGACATAACAACCGTCGACTGTTTCCCTCATTATATTACTGTAGTTACTGAAGAATGATGGTGAGAGCCATCTCTTTTGTAGTCTACAGTAACCTGTAAGTTGATATTTTACAGCAATGGTCATGCTACCGATCTAGCGACGATCGTTGGAGAATACTGAAATGTCGCGATAGGAAAAGTCGACAATGTGCTTGTGAGAAACGACAGAAACGATCCACCAAAACAAAAGGTAGTTCCTATATTTCTGGAGAAATTGTCGTCCCTTTGAAAAATATTCCAATCGCTGTCACTTATTGTAAACCCATGTTAAGATGCTGAAACACGTGAGCAAGACCTGGTGGATGAGTTTATCCGACACGTTCATGAATACAGTGTACTTCAAAGTAAGGAATGGTATCAGGGAACTTTTGACTCGTTGGTAAGTCTTTCGCTGTCCTTTTTCAAGCTCTAATGTTCAAAAAAAATGATTTTTATTTTTGAAGAGGACACGTCGACGTCGTAGTCTTTGCTCCTGCAGGGGTCCCAGTCTGCATCCATTGTAAGTCTTTATGTTCAGTTTTTATGTTTATATGTTCCTGATTCATGTGATCAATTCAACGGGTTTTAGAATCGCACTGACCCTCTCCAAATGCTTGCGCGAGGAGCAATGTGAGTAGTGATCTCACCAAAAGCGTGATATTTTTGACTTCGTTGTGGAAAAAATAGAAGCCGTGAATATAAAATACGATAAAGCACCCATGAAAAAGGCACACAGGGAATCTGTGTGCCCTCCTCATGAGTGCTTTCCTCAATCTGTGGTGTATCGAGGAGGGATGCATCAGTGAGCTGTTTTCTGTCTCCGCCCACATGATCAGCGTGGTGTATACTCCCTAATGCGCATTTAGTCTGCCACATGATATGTCTGAGCTCATTCTTCAAAATACTGTTGTTATACCGATAGTCAGGCCAGAGTGCGCGAACCAAATAAGCTCGGTACGTGATCGGTGGAGACTCGACTGTCCCGTGGCACTTAAGCAGAAATCGTGCGCGTGGTAAGAGAAATACTCTTTCTACTGGCCCGACCGCTCCTATCGGACAAGTTGAATCTGGTGGATGATGGGCTTCTGAAGTTGTTGGGCTGAGTGGTAGTCTCACACATAAAAACCGTATGTGCGTTGCTCATCGTATGGACGATCCATTTGGACCCTTGCACCTTCCCCATTGGTGCGCCTCAACTCGTTGCCTTCTCGAGGTTACAAGGAAAGACCCACCAATGAGAAGGACCCAGTGATTAAAGTGACTCCGCCTACATGAACAAGGCGAAATGGACCTTGAGATCTGTAAAATGAAAGCTCTGTCACCGTTCTGCCGCGGTTTGCCCAATTTCCACTCATTTATTTGGCGTTAATTTTTTTGTGTTCGATACATTTACTAACTATGATCACGTTCTTCTTACAGAAAGCACGAAGAGTTCAGCTTTCATCCTTCTGTTGACACAACAGAGGTACCTCGCAAACGAAAGGATCGAGGGTGAGAACGTTGTGTATTCACAGAGCCTTTCACTGATCCACTGTCCCTGGGTTTCAGGAACTCGAGTCATCCAGTTCGCTTGTCGTGTTCCGTGCAACAGATGAACTGTTTTCTGCACAGTAACGACCACTGGAAGACTCCACCTTTGTGGCCTGATGAATACGGACAATTCTGTTTCTGTCAGAACTCTAACAAGTTAGTAATCCATCAGTCCTTGTCACTTCTTATCTCCGATATCACGCATAAGAACCCGCTATTTCGACGCGCGCTCTGAATTTTGTGACCAGCAGACATACGCACATGCAGTCGTGATCCCTGCAAATGAGGGGGCGCGTTAAAGACCGCAGGTCAAGACGCAGCTAGGATGGCTCTTCTACCAATTTGAGTGATACTATTGGTGGAAAGAGCCGCCGTGGCTGCGCTCCAATCCTTGCTCCCACACACGCCCTATCGTTTGCAGGGATAACGGCAGTGCAGTCGCAACTATATACAGTAGCATGCTTCGAAGAAACGATTTCCATTTGGTACATAGCGTAATACTGGATAGATGCTTCGATTAATAACAAGTACGGGTTTGGGCGCGTTTTGCGCCACTGCGCTAAAAGCGCCCAAACCTGTAGTTGT